TGTAAAATAGTTAAAACGAAGTTGTTTTATAGTCTTACTCGCTGGCTTGCGGGAATGTCATGCCAGTGAATGATGGTGACAAAGTTTCCGTGTACATCTCGCACCCGGTTCCTTGCAAATAGTCATTCTGCCAAGCTTGCGTATCCGGAGACTGAAATTTGCCGTCGAGGCAATGAAAATAATAATAACATGAGATAATTTTAAATCATATAAATAAATAATAATGAGCATCTTGCGCTGGTCCGGAACGTAGGAATCAAAATGTTGCATCTGGAAGAAATTGCTATAAATGAAGACTTATGGACTAAAACCTATGGTTAATTTACCTGAGTTTGCTGGAGTTTACCTTTCTTAACATTTAACGGTAGGATATAGGGAAATTAAACAGGGATTTTGGCGAATGGAATTTAAGATTTAAATATATTTGTAAGATTTTTTGTATTTTATCATCTTCAAAGTAGAAAATAATTTAATTTAGAATAAATTTGGTTAGTGATAATATAGTAATAATGTATCAATGATGATAGCTAATAAGTAAGTATACTCTTATAATACGAAAGTAAAATTTATAATGGTTCTAAAATAAATAATGAATAAAATAACTTGAACAGTTTACTACGAAAACCATTTTTGCTAAATGTGACAACCTCTTGAATTAGAATATAAATCAGAAAAACTATAATAAAATTTTAAAAAAAGTTGAAAAGCACTAGTAACTCCTAATTTAGTATAATGATAACAATAAAATGAAAGAAACAAAAGTACAGTATTAAGATGACCATATTTCTGTAGGTCAAAACCGGGACGGTAACGACGAAGGAAGAAGGTTTTATTATTACTTAAATATGATTGTAAATAACGAGGATTCAATAAAAATCAGTTATTTTATCTAAATGAATCAAATTTTTTATGCAGAATTACTGATTTTTAGTAGGAATTTTATTATTCGATTATATCATATAATTATTATGAAGAAAATTGAAAAAAAAGTAATACCAAGCTTAAAATTTGACGATACACATTTTTTCCCATTTTAAGCCTTGTATAACTTTTTTTTCAATTTTCTTCATAATCATACATTAGCATTCGAGCAAGAAAGTTCAAAAAGTCGTCTTCATAATATTTGCTAATTTTCGTAAACTTGAAAATAAAAGTTCGAATTAGTAAAAGGTTCTATGAAACCCACGTTTTAAATTTTGCAATTTTCACATTTATAGCGTATTGTCTCATATAAGCTAATTCATTGTATAATAGATATTTGATGGGTAGTTGTGATTTTATGAGTAAGTAATTGAAATTTTCGTTTTGCAAACTTGAAAATAAAAGTTTGAAGGTAGTAACGTGAAAGGCTCTTTAAAACCACCTTCGAAATTTTGCAATTTTCTCATTCATAATGTATTGTTTCATATATATATATAATACGCATCAAATATCCATTGTACATAGAGTATAATTTATGTACATTAGAGCGAGTCGATTTATATGGGTCCAAAAAAGTCGCTTAGGAACACATGATTTTCGGATACTAAGAATCAAAATAAGATACTTTACTGAAGAAACCATACCTCTAAAATGAATTCTGAAGTCCCATGCATTGGCCCAAAAATAAGGGTTAAAATTTGAAAAATTCCATTTTGACTCATTTAGGATACTCAAATTGCTTTAAAATGTATGACCGACCTCCACTAACTTTGGAAGGCCGATCTACCCAAGCCCGTGGTTTAACCTCTGGAACCCCCCTGAGAGGTTTTTCAAAATTTAATCCTTATTTTCAGGTCAATGCACGTTACATCAAAATTCATTCTAGACATATGATTTCTTTGTGCTAATGTGCCTAAGTGACATTTAAATCGACCCGCCCTAATGTACATAGATTTTACTTATAAGTATAATCTATGTGCAACAGATATTTGAAGGGCATAGAAGATACATATTATTGATGGTTGTAATTTTATTAGCAAGTAGTTGCAAAAAATCAATTTAAATCTATGCTTTTCGTTGATCCGGGTCAACCTAGGACAAAAAATCAAAATCCGATATGATTATTGCTTTTAGAAAAACCCGGGACACAAAGTGAAAATCCGGGCCAAATTGGAACGTATGGTCACCTTAATAGTATAAATAATAATATGTGTAATAAATTAAATATAAGATTATGAGAATAAAAAAAATCTAGCATTTTAATTAATTGATAAAAATATTTAAAGTGCACAAATAATTCATTGTTTTCATAGTTCATATTTTCATAAATTCCGCACTTGCAAATAACACAAAAAATCTCACAAATACATATATAATCTTTAACAATATAACGACCACATACATACTTTACGCATACAGAACACCAATGTGAACATCATGTGAAATCGTGTTCAATATTGATACAACATTTATGTTACCACATTTAACATCGACGGGCCACATCGAGGTGGGAAAAACACCGATCCAAAGCAAACGATTCCGTGTTAAAAATTTCATTAATTCATCGAACTAACAATAAGAAAATATATCTTTCGAAAACAAGACAATAAATTCGGCCAAGTAATGGCATTTAAGACGATATCCTTTGCTTTGATTGAGGCGAAGACATCAGCTTGACACAGAACTATGACTGATTGTGATGAATGGATGTTGGTGCGGACAAAGAACAAGATAGAGGAAAAAGTGTCGCGGGTTTGAGATGTAATTAAGTTGTCGCTTTCTTTCGGAGAAATATGTGCGCGTTTTTGTATGTCCATTGAGACATGTGGTGGAAAACACTTAAATAAAGATGACAGACGGACGTGCTATGAAGTTTCTTAATACAAATAACGAGTGGGTTGTTTTTGATTTGGAGATGTATCGGAGTGTAAGTGATGATGTTTTGTCTTACTTAATTATATTCAAGATTTGAATGATATTAGACAATTGAAGCACTACGCATAATCCTATCTTGGATAAAGCATTGAAAGAAATACTATACATCTACTCAATTATCATATATTTAGATCAAATTTTATACGTTTTGTTTAACAAAATATTATTTTATTAGGTTGACAACTAAGTAAGTGCGGATTTTTGTTACAAAATCAGAGTCATTTTTTTAAAGGAACTAAATAACTTTGTTCTCAAATACGTTGTCCATTTTGTCATTGACTTTTGTTATCTTTCAGGCATCATAATTATCTCACTTTCATAAAACTTCTGGTTCTTATTAGCTAAAACTTAAAACAAGTACAATTTGACAAACATTATTATGTTTTTGAAGTAAAACTTCTTTAGGCGCGACTAGGGAGTAAATCGTTACGGCTCAAGCTATTCGTCATAGGCTATAGATATATCGTTCTATACGGGTCGATTGTGCTTGGGAGTCGTGTTTTCACTATTTAACTTCTGAGAAACGCTTCAACTATTCACAATTGAAAATATTATTCTGTTATCTTTTTAGATAAAAGTACTTCTGTAACTTATCACGATACAGCAACTACATCATGTCAATTACGAAATAATGAGTCTGTATTAAATATTCAATCATCACATGTTAACGTGCAAAAGTCAAATGAAATATTTCAATTTCTACATAAAAACTTTAATTTTTTTAGGAATGCACGAAAAATATTGTATCTGAAAGGTTGATTTGATAAATCATTTTTTCTTGTTGGCGATTTCTATGTCAAGTATCATTCGGAAGAACCTCGAACATTGATTTTTTAGATGTTAAAATAAATTTAACGAAGAATAATTCTCAAGTTCACAAAAATTTTAAACTCTGTGTCAACTAAATTTGTGTCTCACACACTTTTCAGTAATCTTGAATAATTCAAATCATATTTGGAGTATGATAGTAATTGTTTGAAAATATTAGTATAGTGGTTTACATTATTAAATGTATGTATTAGTAGTGTTAACATATTACTAATAAATACTATTTTGATTTTTTTAATGAAGCATGTATTTTTGAATTAATTGTCATCTTGAACAATAGCAAAAAAGTTTTACTTCAATCGCGTGTGTACATTACGCGCACCTTTTTTTGAATTCAAGGAGTTTTGTAATGATGACATCATAAGATGGTGTAAGGTCAAGACTAGATGTGGCAAAACATTCCAATCAAGATCTAATAATGTTTGCTAAGTGGCCAAAATTATGTGGTGTCAATAATGGAATAAATCACTGTTTCGATTTAACAATTTATGGCGCTTTTTTCAATTATATTTTTATGATTAATTTCGTTAGTTGTTTAAAGTAGACATCAGAATTGATCATTTGGTTGGCAGTTCAATGTAGATAATATTTTTTAATCAACTGCTACTGGACGATTAGAGCATTTTTCATCTTTGACTGAAAAACACAAGAACGATACTTGGCAACCCAATTTTGACACTGCCGATTTTTAAAGGCTTCGTCACCAAAACAGAGCATTTTTTTCGTGAGTTAAAAATGTTTCTTTACATTTGCAGAAATAAAAAAGCAAAATATGACAAAAAATTAGGATTTGATTTCATGAGTTCTAACCAATGCCAACTATGACTACACAATTCATCAAAAACTCTATTTTGCAGGTTGATACTAGAAATGTCTACTATCCAATAATAAAAAGTATTTTACATTTTGACTCTATCAGCAAAACTAAAAATTCAATGGAACTATCTAAGAGTAAAAGCCGCACTTACTTAGTTGCCAAATCTAATATTTATAATTATACTTTCGTATATTTGAACAAATGAGAAAAAATATGGATATAGCAACCGATTAATTTTATTATGTAATTAGGTACAAATAATTATATCAAATCAAAGCGTTTTTGTAAATTTCATGAAATTGTATGATTACGTATTGCACCTGCTTAAATTTGACTCCCTACTACAAAACGGGAATGATTTTATGAGTATAGATCTTTTTTATTCAAAAAAAGACTACAAAATATTTAACCCAATTTAATCAAATATTATCTAATTCTATTGTGAAAAACACAAAAAAATATAAACTTTTAAATGCCACTTATAAAATTCTAAATACCATTAACAGCTCATAATATTGGATGGCGTTGTCTTTATTCTGTTTCTAAAGCTATTATTCTGTGAAAATAATATATTGAATATCGAAGTATTACGTGTGCATCGCTTACTTATACGAACTTTTAAGACAAAGTAAACTTCACCTATGTTATAATTCTAACTACACGTTAAATTTCTCTGATTGACGTATAAACATGAATAGTAAGTAATTTGTCGTTTTCGAATTGTGGCGTGTGCGAGGGGGGACTTACTCTGTGGCCTGCGCGAAAGGCATGCCAATGAATGTGGGACTTAGGGTCTCAGTGTACATTTCCATGCCGGTGCCGCGCAGGTAGTCGTTCGTCCAGATCTGCATATCCGGCGACTGCAAACAGGTAAAACACACAGCAGGCCGAATACCGGCCAGGTAAAACGGTAAGAAAGTAGCCCATTTTAAATGATTTATAAAAGTAATAAAAATTATAAAGGTAAATAAAAGTTGATCTTTAATTTTTACATAAAATATAATTTAGAGCGGTTCCATTAGTATGAGACAAAAAAAGTCACTTAAGCACATATGATTCACGCATACTAGGGATTAAAATCAGAGACTTTGCTGAAGAAACTGTATCTCTAAAAAAAAATCTGATGAACACCCGTGCATTGACCCAAAAAAGAGTTAAAATTTGAAAAATTTCATTTTGACCCATTTAGGGTGGCCCAAATGTATGATCGACTCTCACTAACTTTGAAAGAACGATCCACCCATGCCCGTGGTTCACCCTCTGGAACCCCCTCTGAGAGGTTTTTCAAAATTTAACCCTTATCTTTGAGTCAATGCACGAGATATCAGAATTCATTTTAGAAGTATGGTTTCTTCAGCAAAGTATCTTATTTTGATCCCTTGTATCCGAAAATCATAAGTGCCTAAGTGACCTTTAAATCGACCCGCCCTAAATATTTTATCATTGTAATCATAAGTTTTGTTATTAATACAAGTATTATCGGCACTGGACAAAATAAAAAAAAAAATCAGTTTACACTCAGAACTTAATGAACCCTATTATAAGGTGACTTTGTAGGTGACAACCCGATTGTTGTCCTATCTCGAACTAATCAATTTATTATTATAAGCTCTGATACTGATGACTTTTTATTCAAATGCAATACCGGAGAAGGACTATTTTCACTTGCAAACATATTGTTATCTTTAATTTCAAGTCAGAACCGATGCCACTACTGCTTAATATCAGGCTGTCTCAGGCTGGAGTGGAATTTATTATGAATACCCGACATATCTCGAGATATTGTCCCAAGTTTATATTTTAGTTTCAATCGTACTTAGTTCAATATGTAGGGTAGGGCGGGGCACAAAGGTCCAATTTGACTTTAAGTAATTATACTAAATGAACTACATCACAAAACATAACGTGTATCAAACAAACAATCTCGTAGTATGTTCAATAAAATTCCCAGTTAATTGGTAATTATAGACATTCTTCAACCAATGCAAAATATGAATTTCATAGGTACATTTTTTACATAGATCACATTGAATATAATCTTTATTTGATATTTTGTAGAAATATTAACCGGAAAAGTTGGAATAACTATTTATTTAGTTGATCTCTCGTAAAATTGATTTTTTAACTGAATTTACTTTTTTATTTACTATATTTTATTTTTTACAACTTTTGCCAGGGTAAAGATTCAGCTGGTTCTTTTTACACCATTCACATGTAAGCTATTCTAGAAGTTATATAAAGAACTATTGAATTGAATTTGAATATACCAATACATTTTATAAAACAAATAAATAACTTATACTTGAAAATTATATTAATGTCTTGTAAACTAAAAAACAGTGCTTACAACTAACATATTAACAATGAGAGAAAATACTTGTTATGGATTTTAAGAAACAAGGTGATGGTTGGTTATACATATTGTGCCCTCTACTTTCAAATATTGTTGTTAAAAAAATTCTAAATTTACTTGTTTTTGAGATATCTGTGGTGGACCTTTTTACCCTATAAGCCCAGCTCTATCCTATACATACAACGAATTCACAAACTGTGTTATGATTGGCAAAACCCAATGGAAATTAATGTAAAACTTAGAAATCGTGACAGCAGCAGTATTTAAGTGATACTGTTTCTATAAAAACATCACGGCGTAAGCAAACCTTCACGGAAGTCTTGAGATTTATAAACATACAATTGGAGATTTTACATTTGGAGACTAAAAAAATGTTGAAGTCTTATGAATTACTCTCCACGAACAGTTGGGAGTATAATTTGAGTACGCCCAAAAATTCTTATGATCAGAGTCTTCTGCTATATACATTCAAACATATTTTTTTTAAATATTTCAAATTATATTTTTTTAGAATTATATAATTTTTCGACTTAGTAATAACTCTTAAGTAGAGAATATGATCAGATCTACTTCTAAAAAATAGACAAAACTCAGTCTGCTGATTACAATGATTCATTATATTATTTATAATAAATGTTAATTATCTGTGATATATGTATATATTCATATTTAGTAATAATAACACCTGAATGTAATATGAAGTAACAATATTTCTGACTAATTATTGGAAGCTTCAAATAAATTGGGCTATTTTATTATTGAACTTATTAAAAAGACATTATTCCTAAATAATGAAACATGTATATGTAGTATATTAAGTATTCTGCTGGAATTAATTTATGCTAATAAAATATTAAACTATTTAAACACAATTTTGCACATTTTCTATTATAGGAAATTAATTGAAAATGTATGTTATTTAAAAATATTTCTTCAATTATAAATATATGAGTTATATCAATTCTAGAAATTAAACACGAATAAGAAAGACATATTGATTATAAAAACTTGGTTCCGCGCAAATCTATCGTTAATACATAAAAAAATTGTAAATTGGAAAATAATTGGCTTCAAAATTAAATGAGTTTAAATTTGTGTAAATAAAATAAGCCTAATCATATTACTATCGATAACTGTAAATCACAATTTATTGTATTTGTTTCATGGTAAGGTACTAATAGTAAATAAGAAGTAAAATTGAGCCTGATTTTTGAAACTCACCGTTTTAAAACTTCTCATCGCAAACAAATTGGCCATCATAGTTGAGAATCCGGGTGCCAGGCAACTTTGTGCTATGAAACCCAATTTTAACTCGGCTAAGCAGATCACATCGTCGCCTTGTTTCCAATCCCATGATGGAATATTTAATAAGTACGCCTGCAAATAGTATACAGATAATTATAAAAATATATAAAAACTAGTGAGGTGCATGACATCGTGCCTTAAGGCAAATTGCTAGAACTTTCCGTACCGTAATTAAAAACTCAAGGTATGAAAATAATGACCATACTGTCGAAAATGTCGAGGACATTTGTTTGAACGATATACTATTAAAAATTAAAAATCTTAGTACGAAACCCCAAAAAATTAACATAAAATGTGAACACATTATTAAAATCTCTATAAAATATCTGATAATTTGATGTGCATACGTCTAATTATCATTTTTGACCGCCAAATGGCTTATTTTATTTTTTTAATAGAACTCTATAACCGCCAGACCCGCTTTCTTAAAAATTTGATCAATTCTTCATCTTGTAAATACAAGTAAAATGTTTTTTGAATTATTAAAATCGGACACTCCGTTCTCTTAAAAACTGAGTTACTGTTTTTGGCACTTTTTAGCTCCGTATCTTCGAAACGGCTAAACCTGCCTTTGCCAAAAACTAATCAGCACGTCTGCTTATCATACAAATCGAATGTTTTTTTAATTATTTAAATCTGTTGATTGGTGTTCTCAAAATCGTCGACGAAAATTTGTATCCGCACACACACACACACACACATAATAATTTTGATTTTATTCACAATATAAATTATATTTATTTATTTTGTAATGAATCTATATATGAACAATCAAGAGCAAGTTTGTTATTATTATTCAATATATATTCTTATTAGTTTTAATTTATGAATTATTACATTTTATTAAATTCCATTAGAGTATAATTACCTTATTGTGATATTGCATCAGTTGTATAATGACTCGAATATCATCGCTATAATTTTTTATCGAAATGACTCTCATAATATTGGCGGCGTCTTCAGCATCCGGATCTTGGCAATATTTATTGGCGAGCACAAGACAAGCATCAGCTTCATGCACCTATTTATTCATTTGATATAAATAACATTTCTGTTAAAATCTTTTAATACATATTTGATATTAAATTGAACTTCCCAATGATATAGAAAAATATTAATGATACTGATATTCTATTTGCTTTAGTACACTTGAAGTTTTGAAAGTTATGAATAATATAGTATGTAATATGTATAAAAAAACTAAATTAACTCAAATCATACTTAAATTCCTTCGATAATACTTATTATGAAATAAGTTTTATTTTACTATATTTATGAGTGCGTTACACTTTATTTTAATTTATTAAAAATTTATACTATATAATTATTACATATACTATCATGCTAATATCCATATGCACTAGTAACTAAAGTTGCTATAAATAACTAACTATGATGTCGTGCATGTGATTTTAATATATTTGAAATCTAATTGATTTTGAGTTATCAGTGAACAGCCATTTACACAAATTGTGACAACGGATGAAATAATCTATTAGCAATCACTACTAAATTTAGAATGAAAAAATGGAGCACTAATTTATTCAGGGACTTACCAATGAATTTGTAGTCTAATCTATCTCTGGTTTTGTACTGGTTAATTCGAAACAACTTAGTGCATGTTAAGTTAACATATACAAATTAAGCGTGGATTTGAAAAATCTATTATACTCCTGAACAAATTTATACCATTTGATAAATGTTCAACATAAACATTCCACAATGTGGAAAGCGTTCAGATAGTTTTGTGGTACTTTTAGTCAAACCGAGAAGTATCAAGTTGAAATGATATTTCACAGAATTTTATGAAAAAACATTGATTTTTACTTTACATCGAAATGGATTTGTGATTGACAGAAACTAGGGTAATTAAAACAGTTAACATGTTAATTGAATTTAGACATTAATAATTTGGAGTTGATGTAATAGTACTAACCTTCACCCTTTGCAAGTCAATGGGGTTCATTATGGTTCCCTGGAAGAACTCTACAGTTGTAAAGTGCCTCTTAAATAAGCCTTCTAGTTCCAGATCTGGAGGTTTCCTAACGGTCACATAAAAAACAACTCAAAAAACATCTATTGAAATAAAATAACAAATTTCACTTATGAATGAATGATTTTGACTTAGCCACAGCTCAGGATACCTTATATCTGTCCCACGTATTTGATGAGAAACAACTAGCGAGTTCTGTGATTTCAATTTTACTTAATAATTTTACATAATTAGACCATTCAAAGAACCATAAATACACTCGCTGTTTGTTCTAATAAAAATACATTATAACATTAGAAATATAAACGCATGCAACGCAAATACAAGTTTTTTCTAAATAATTTCTTTCGTGAGTCATTTTATGCAGCATTTGCAAAAACATACTTTTAGAAGACTTATAATAACTCACAAAAAGAAAATAGATGTAAAAAAAAATAGATCTTAAACGTGCGACATATTCTCTTAATTCACTTGTTGAGATACCATCCTAATAAACCCTGTGTATGACGTGCTCAAAATTTAAAGATACCAAAAAGCATGAAAATGACTAATAACGATTATCGGCAGTCTACAATTTCTAGTAATTGTTTGCAAGGCAATATACGTATTTTTTTATGAATATTCTACAAGACATTCCAGTGGCAGCTCCTGGTTTTGTACCTTAACTCTTTCTAAGTCCACTGCGTTCATCATCGTTCCCTGAAAAAACTCCACAGTGGTGTAGTGTCGTTTCAGGAGACCTTCCAACTCTAGATCAGGCTCTTTTCTAATGATATAATTCAAGTAAAATTTATATACACTAATTAAGAATTCGTAACCTATACTGCCATATCATAAAAATAGAATACGTCCAAAAATTTAATGGTTTGTTTGAAACTGTCGAAATTTATATATAAATATTACCTAAAATTGATGAATATATTTGATTATGTGATAATAGCTTACCTGTGTAGGAAAACTACTTCAACATCAACATCCTCTCTATCTTCATGTAGGAAATCTTTCAGAAAATGTGATACAGACTCATATGTGATGTGGCCGCAAACAACAATATGCCTACATTTGGTTAAATTAATTATTATTTTGTTTTTATTATTTATTTATTTATGAAACACATAATGCCAAATATAAAAATCAAAACTTCTCTGTCATATCTAAAAAATGTTTTCATAAAATGCAACATATGATATGACAGTTAAATTTTTACAAAAACCAACACCAACAATCAATACTAACAAACATGCCTTTGTTTCTTGTGTATGCTCGATTATTCAAAAATTATATTGTAGCCTGCTATCTGTATTGTTTGTATTTTAAAGGTCTATATTTGGCGTTTTAATAGCAATATGTGCGTATTTATTTAAAATAGAATCTGAATAATCGTAAAAGGTCGTGTAGAGTTTCTACAGTATACAATGTTTTGAAAATATCTATTAAAAATTGATGCACTAGCTATTCGGTTCGCATGCACCGAGCTGTGAGTCTCCTAGAGGCTGGTATTGCAAATTCTAAATATGTGGGCTAAAGTCTAAGATGAAAAATATGTGTCAATTTCTAAACTTTAAATTAATGAAGATGAAAAGCAAAATTGTAAACACATTATATTGAAGAAAACTTTGATAAGCTATCATAATAAAAAGCAGACCAACTACGGTCAACTGATAAACAATGTATGATATGTGTGGTTGATTTCGAACATAAAAATAAAATAAAATTCAAATAAAAATTATAAATTCTATTTTAAAGTCTACGACTCACTTGTGCTACCAGTACACCTCAGACGAACAGATTGGCTAAAAAAAGAACTGGTGAGATAGAAAAAAAAGAATCGATATAAAATAAAAAGAAATAAATATAGGATAAATAAGAATTGGTGTCAGCGTCGCTACGTGACGCGCTCGCCCGTGGGCATAGGGCACATATTTGATGTATATATAGTTTTCATATTAAATGGGACCCTAAGTACACACAGCCTGGCCCGATCTAGCTAGGTGGAAAAACAATGTCATTGACAGGATTTTTTCGGGAAAGGATCGAAATAAATGTAAATCTACTATTATAATAGTGATCGGAACATGCGATGGAGATTGGGGCCGGGGCGACACATAACACGTACTTATATAACGGCTAGATTATATATATAATGTATGTATAATAATATATTATATAGAGAAGACAGAGACTCGACCTAATAAGAGAAATATCAACACACAAATACGCACACAACATTCACAATCACGTTTACTATTACGTGGGATAATATTACAATACACGTATTTATTACGTAGGATAATATAACAATACACTAGGAACGCCTTGGAATGTGTCGTGTGTCACGTCCAAATGCTACACGTTCATCCGATCACAAGGCAACACTGGGTAAAATAGGGTAAGTATACATTGTATTGGTGAATTATAAACATAATCATTGCTTTGTGATTCAATAGTGTTGCATTTAACGCTAATATTTTTGTAAATACACTTTACGAGAAATTTATTTATAATAATATTACATTACAAAAACAATGAAAATAATTACAATACATATCACAAATAAATTATGTTCAATATAAATAAAGCATCGAATAGTGTGCGCACATAAAAAAAAATATATTTAGGACACATCCCAAGCAACTATATCTAATGAGGAAATGAGGATATTGAAACTTCTACATCACGGATAAATTTGGAAGGAGATGTGATAAGTGCATATGGCGATGGCGACGTGCGGGATATAGGGTGACTGGTTGCGGCCTGGGAAAGAGGGTGAGCTATGGTTGGCGTAACAATATTTGAAAAAGTGCTCGAAACAAAAGTATAGAATAGTGAAGAGACGCGCCCCCGCTTTCCCAGGCGGCACTTCAACGATCACGACACTTGCACTTGACTTTTCTTATAACATCTCACCTGCGTCCTCGCTCGTTCTTCAGCGTGCCGCCGTACTTCGGCCTAGTTCCGATCAAGTCAATAATCTCTGGGATACAACTAGCGAATATAGCCTAGACGCCGACAAAATGGACAAACAATACACACATGTGTTGACAAAAGCATCCGTTATATGTCATTGGTCCACAATATTGTAAATTATTTATAAATATAATTTTGATCTTACGATTTTTGTGCAAGGTTTTTTATTCAACTCTTGCCATTAAACTATATCGTGGGGTTGAATGAGTGGGGCGCGTGGGGGCGGGGCGGAGCTCGGGCCCTGCTGTGTGGCTCTCGGGGCGAAGCGCGCGTTCTACATCTGTTTATTACTCTAACGAACTACTAGAACTAATTAACATAAACTTCAGCTTAACACTACTATTGCTTTGCTATTTGCTTAGTAGACCGGCATGTTAGTTGTTTGGCTGTGTGCGTTTAATAGCGATTATGATTTGGCATACTTATAATTAAATCAAAACTTATAGAGCGCAGTGAATTTCGATGGTTTTGTTATCAGGCGATACAGCGTGCGCGAAATCTACTGAAAAATGCATGCGACTGTAGCCGGTTTACATTCAAGATAAAAATCAAACAAACCAAAATGAACAAAAGGAAAAAATGTACACTATGCAGGCGAATCAAAACGTGAGAATATTAGCGGTGACTGGTTTTCAACTGTACAGAGAGTTTAGCAATTAATTTTCGGGTGCACGAGGATCGAGTATCAGGTAACCGAACCTTCTGCGCACGTCCTTGCTGTATTTGCCACCGTACTTGTTGCGCTGGGCCGCCAGTTCGGTGATCTCTGGAATCCAGCTGGCGAATACGGCCTGATAATGTGACGACGCGGTTTTTTAGCGGAATATGGTAACTGAATGGCGAGTGCGAAATAATTCTGACTTTGGCTTTCAATGGATTTGTTTGTGAGGGCGGGGAACGGGGGCGCGCAGCCCACTAAACGGTACAGATGATAGACTACAAATGATTGTGGCAGCTTAGAACATAACAAGGTATATTATTGCATTACAAAATATGCGCTCCGCTCCGCCCCGAGTCAATGAGCTGGCGCGCACCCCTTCCCCGGCTAACAATGCTCGCATTATGTCTGATAATAATTTTATTAATTTCATCAACTAATTATATCTCAACGCCGAATATAACATATTCAACATTCCAAAAGGTACGATAAATTTTCGAAGTTTTGGTGACGAGAAAACAGCACAATGTGGAGATGTATTTATTAATCTTTGAAATACGATTCCAAATATAATTAGGTTTGCTTTCTCATCACTAAAACCCTATGTAATAGAAGCAAATTACATTCTCTCTTAATTATCTTATTACTATAGGTAAGGATACGAAGGAATGAGACCATAAGGAGTGCAGGATCAGTTAATTTTTAGGCAGTGCTGACGAATTTGGGTATGGTGTAAGATTAAGAAATATTATTTAATTGAATATCATAATAATTAACTGTAGTTTCATAAAATCAAACTATTGCTACAATATTAATTAATGTAGTTCTTGTTAAATACGTTAGAAAAGCATGGCAAAGCTTTTAAATTAGACTAACCCAATTTCTACAAAAAAGTTCTAATGTTTATACTAACATATTACTTCAGTAAACTATCTAATAAATACTTTTTAAAATTACTTTAAATCATTATTTTCATTATTTATTACAAATTTAGGATAAATTATATTGTCTGGCTTTCATGAATGATTGATGATGAAAAATATGTCCATCATTAATATTTAAGAAAATTTATAGATATTATCAGCATGAAAATTATAAACAACAAATAATAATTAATAATTTTTTTAATGATGTAATAATTCCATCTACACAACTGGGTCTTGTCACGGCTGTGT